TTTTTTTTTATTTTCATGTAATTTTAAATAAAAAAAAAAACTCATTAAAACTACTAAAATTTATAACTTGAGATAACTGTTTGATAAATAGATATTAGAAAAATACAACTTTGAATATGAAGTGTTTTCCTCACGATTAAAACCAGCGCACAACTTTTTTACTTTCAGAATTCGAAAAAGATTGTGTAAAAAAATAACGCCTGGCTTATGTATAAGCAAGAAACGATAAGTTACATTCAACCCCCAAAGCCCGCAGTCGATCAGGTTGGTAGCCGGCAGCTGCAGCTGATGATGTGCGTGCAGGCTGGTAACCGTATAGCCAGAAAAAAAAAAGCGCGCGAGCAGCAGTTAACACATGTACAGTGCTGTCTCTCTCACTCGCACGAACACACGCGATATATATATATATATATTTTTTTTAACTGACAGCGACCGAATCAACAGTCGGCGTACTGACGGAGTGTGCTGCCATCTGGCCGCCACACCACTACTACAGTATACTACAGCAGTACTACCACTCCATTGATCCGGCGAGCTGGGATCAGCTGATTCGGCCCGATTCACGTGGACGCGTAGCAGACTATACAAAGCAAAACACGCAGTTGCACACAGTCGCGCTATATATATATAGTCAAGTGCTCGCACAGGTATTTGGAATCGTTAACATTGTTAACTTGCCGTTTGAACGTGATTATGGAAAACGACGCGAACGAGGAGATCTGCGAGGACGACTTTTTCATCGTACCCTGCAAATACGAGTGTGAGTACGATGTGATTGTAGCAATACAACCGAGCCGCAACGGAGACTCGCGTGCCACGTTTGTTTTTGCTTGCTTTTGGGGATAAATAACGCCACAGAACATGCTCCCTGCTTAACATGCTTTTCCAAAAGTTGCATTTTTTCTTGCTCACGTTGTTTTTTTTCTCCTTCTCTTGCAGATCTGGACCACACGGCTGACGTGCAGTAAGTGTAAACGCTAGCGTTGGGCAGGACAAATCTCGTTCGAGATGGGTTGCTCGAGGAGCTTTCCCGAGGTGTTTGCAAGCTCTCTAGAATAGACAGTTTAATATTAAGGATGGGTGATGATGAAGTGGTGAATAATCCGTTTAAATGAGGTTAGGGGCATCGACTTAACCTACAAAGCTCGCTCTCTCTGAGCTGGTGGTTTTTTGAAGACTGCACGAGACTGCGGCCTACGCTTGAATGAATGTTTTGTTGAAGTTGTGAAATATTTAATTAGATGGGTAACTTGATTACCTACAAATGGCTCTGTGCTTTGAATTGACAGGTTGCACGCATGGGGCGATACCATGCAGGAGGCGTTCGAGCAGTGCGCCCTGGCGATGTTCAACTACATGACGGAGTTGGAGCGCGTCGAGGTGAAGCAAGTCTTCCACGTGGAAGCTCAGGGTGAAGATATGATGGGTCTGCTATATCACTTTTTAGATGAGCTTCTGTTTATGTTCTCTGCTGAACCGTATCTTGTGCCAAGGGTAAGTTTAGTGTTTTTTTTTTTTTTTTCTTTGTACATTTTATCGGCTCCTTTTGTTTTCGTTTCTTGATTGTTTTCCAGTTACGTTTTTACATGTTGCGTTTAGCACATTAGTGTAAATATTAGTATGAATGAAAAATCACAATAAAAAGTAAAAGTAACAATTACAGTGTTGATTTAAACATCAAATGATATAATGTAAGAAGAACGTTTTTTTACTTATCTGCTGATACAGTGTTATCAACAGAAGCTCGAAAGTATGGAAATTTATGATCAAACTACATTATCTTTTAATTATTTACGTCATCGGAAAATTTAAACGTTAGCACACAAGGAAAAATAATGGTTTGTAACAAAAGTTGCAAAAATCCAAAATCATGAATTTAAACTCAGTTTTATTGTTCAAATTTCTAATTATAAAAGTCATTTCTATCGTTTAGACATAATGTTTATAACGCGATACCTGGAAAAATTACTTCGCATTACCGTGGCTAGCAGTCGGTAAGATGGTGTAAACTAAATGCCTATTGAGTGAAGTGACGTTGCATAACTTTTGTAGTGTCACCCAATGATAATATGAAAATTAAATAATGCCACAATACACTAAGCTTACGAGTCATTGTGAAAATAAACGCGTTCAGGTAGTAAAAAAAAAAAAATCACTTTATTCCAAAAAACGGAGAAAAAAATAAGCAAAAGAAAAATACTAAAGAATCTCAGTAAATGTTACAGTGACGGTAATTTTTTGTGTTCTCGATCGAAATCAGCGGGTCAAAATTCTAGAGTTTGACCAGGAAAACTTCCGGATAAAGGCAAGGGCGGCTGGCGAGGAGTTCCAAATAGGGAAGCACACACAGGGCGCCGAGGTGAAGGCCATCACCTACTCAGCCATGCAGATCCACGACAGGCCGGAAGTCGAGCGGCCCGAGCTCTTCGTCATCGTCGACATATGATCATCGTTAGATACAAGTACATGCAGAAAAAAAAGAGAGAAAATGCCCAGACAGACTTCAGTGCCCTGTACTACAGCATATATATGCGTGTAATATACAGATATATATTTATATACAAATCGTGCAATGGTATTGAAAGAGCCAGTGCAGAGTCGTGCGTATACTGTTAAATGACCCTCTTTCGCCGAAAACGACGGGGAGAAGGACGAGGAGGGGTGGTAGGTATGGTTGTAAGAAACAGCCCCCGTTGAAGTTACCGTACCGCTTAAGAAAGAGGGTGAAGCAGCCGTGTACAATTCTATTGTGCGCCCTGTACACGAGAGAAGAACGCGCTTCAAATAAATACGTTAGGAAAAAAAACAAAAGTTACTGCGCTTTGAAAATGGAGATTCTAGAAGTCATCATTTTTGTCATATTTAGCTTTTTCACTTCAAAAAAAAAAAAAAAAAACGTAGCGGACCCCTGTCCCCTCCTCCTCCTCTTCTCTTCCTTCGCCCCTTGTGCTTATTTTTTCTCCCCTTCTTTCTCTCTTCTCATTCCAAAGTCGGGCCCCGGGAGTCAGATGCGGCTGCCCGCGCCTCGGCGCCCGCGACGACGACTCCGAGTGCTTTTATTTCCGAGGCGTCGCGTTTCTCTTGCGTTTTTTGCACATACCTATATCCACACCGCATTCGGTTCCCGTCGCACATGCACACGCACCTATACATGCACTCTTTCTCCTCCTTCCGGCTGTGCGTTAACTCTCTTTCGAGACGACATCTCGGTCTCTCTTTCTCTAGACTGTATGTATTATTTTATGATGTACACCTAAGACTCCATAGATCAGTACGATTTTTTTTTTTTTTTTTTTTTTTTTTTTCTTCTAAAGTTAAGTACACTTTTGCTAAGACTCCTCCGAACGTAAAAGCGAACCAGCGTGTATTCTTTTTTTTTTAATCTTAAAATTAAGAACACAAATGTAAAATGCCTATTTACAGCTAAGAGAAATTAAGTAATCATGCGATGCGCGTCCTCAAAGGAACGCATGCCCCTAAATGTTGTTTACATGCGGGCTTGTAATAGTCGTATTGCGACGGCTGATAAGTATCGCTATAAAAATCTAAACGACGTTGGTACAGAATTGTCTAAAATAAAGAGAAACTGCTGTAATACTTATACAACGATGACAAACATGTATAACGTTAAAAATACGTACAAATCTTGGAAAGCCCTTATTTCGTGAGTTAACGGGAGATTAGTTGCTTTGTCCGAGGTAAAAATTAAATTTTCAGTGACATTTACAAAAATTTGTTTAATGCATTTAATTCACATTATATAGATTGTGTATGCAACGTTTTCTGGTACTTACAAAGAAAAAACTTGAGAAACATCACGTTTCAAATCACTCTTCTCTTTTCCTGTACAGTGTGCGCCATCATCTGAAAGTCGGGAAAAAATTTATTATTCAGCTTTGCCAGGTACGTAAGCGGGAAAAAAAATCATACTCCCTAACTTTTATTTATTTTATGCGAGCCGAAAGAGTTTTAACTTTAAAACTTCTCTTGCCGATCCAATCCTAATTACACTCTCGATTTTAGAATACTTTTGCATGCGTCATTGCCTCTGTCTACCGCCTTTTCACATCTACAACGTTGGACAAATCTTTGAGGAAAGAGTGAAACGAATGGTCGCAGGTAAAAATCAAACGAAAGAACTGTAGTCCAATGCTCGTAGCATCTACACAGCCCAGCATATACTTACTTCCAATCTTGAGATAATGCCGAATTTTTGTTAAAACGTGAGAACTTTTTTTCCTTCTCTATCTTTTTTATCTTCCCCTGTGAATTTTCTTCTTGATGCTAAATACCTACCAGGATCATTTGTCTCGTTTCCTCTCAATTTATGTCTATTTCTCTAGGCCTTTTTGCGCGTATCGTTGATTGTTTCCGCGCACACTACAATAAAAGTACACCGTATGTGTATAGCGTATACACATTTATACATATATTTGTTTGTATTATCACGCGATGATAAAAATACTACAAAAAGGGTGTAAAACCTCTTTCGGAGGCGTCAAAAACAACAAATTATCCATAAATACGGTGAAAATCAACCATCCGTTGCTATGCTCAAAGTGCACGGAAAAATGAAGTAAAAATAAATAATACCGATTAAAGGCACACAAAAATAATGAATAAATCATAGAAATAAATACTCCCCTTTTCCTTTCCTACAAAATGTATTGTATAATTATATCTTTACAGTCTACTAAATTGTTGAATAATTATCTCCTCGAAAAAACCAAGCCTGGACTCTCCCTCTCTGCTGCCGCTACCCTTCATATTCCATATTATACCTATGTATGTCGTGCTGTCGCAGCGCTGGCATCGGTGGAGTTAGCGCAGCTTCGTTGCTTAGTGTTTGCCATAACTTCAATTTCAGTGCTTCAAACGTAGGTCATATGACGAGAGGGAGAGAGAAAAGAAGTACAAATACCCGAGCCACGTCGCCTCGAATGGGCGATAGCGAAGGATAGAAAAGCAGAGGGTAGCAGCAGCAACAACAGCTATATATATGTATATGGTTTTGTTGGGCGAACCAAAAACTTGTGCGCTGCTGCATGCGAAGTGCACATGCAAGGCGCGCGCCAACGTCGAGAACAGTATAGAGCGTAAGGGAAGTCAGGGAAGGGCGGCCAGCCAGTGATCGCAGGCAGTGCGTCGACAAACCGGGCGGTTGTTTAGTGTGCTGAGAGCAGTGTAACGTACGGCAAGCCCAGTTAAAAGTAACAAACATTGTACATCATCGCACGCACACACACATCAAGTAAAAAAGGTGGGGGCTCGTTTATGTGTACATATACACACACTGTGTCCCCCTTTCCTCCCTCTCCCGCGAGTTCGCGCGCTCTACAGACATGCAGCCATCGGGCATCGCCATCGTCTCCCTTCGGGAAAGTTTGCCTTGAAAACCTACTTATAAGTGGTTGCACAAGCTTACGATATTAAAAAATTATTATCGATTCCCCCCTCTCCCCCCCCCGGATCTCTGTTTTTCTGAAACTTGGGGAAAGTGTTTGTGGATGTGTCAGTGTTCGAACAGCAGTGCATTAAATTATATAGTAGGTATTAGGTACCCATACCGGCCATACCTACTACCCATATCTCGACCACAATGAGCACGAACTTGCTGTCGCAATAGGAGCACTCAACGTATTAACATTTATATTCCAATGTCGCGTGAGCATGAGCGAGTTCTCTATACCTGCCTCCTAGTGCACCACCAGCCCCGAGCTCTGTATGGCAGTTATGTGTAGCTTTTGCACTACGACGCTACTGTAGCCGTTACGCGTCGTGCTATAAGTAACCTTGGAACCTGCTGATTGGCCACCTGGACAGCCACGACAGCAGCTGACTATTGTCATTGTCTCTGTGGGAGAGTCTTCCCGTGGGAACATAAGAAGCCAGCGGTAGACGGAGGGGATTAGATTGTGTTGCAACAGAAGAGTGAGAGAGAGGGGGCAAGGAAAGAAAGAGATAGACGACAGCAGGGGTTGGCAAGCCTTGGGAGCGGGAAATACGAGCGCAACTTTTGGCGCGCAGCTTCGGTTGTCCGAGTCGCCAGCAGATGGCCAGTACCGATGCGCCACCTACGACGACGATAGTAGCGAGCAGCAGCCCCCGCCACCGCTGCCGCGGTCATCACCACCGACACCTCCACCTCCACCTTCGATTTTAGGCCGTTTAAGGATAAACTATTCGCAAGCTGCCAGCCATAGTGCCATAGCTAGCACACATTCAAGTTAGCCTCTGTACCATCTGGGGATTAAAAGCTCCACCGAGTGCAGTGGAAAAGGCAGAGCGAATCGAGTGCGCATAAATATATATATATGCGGGCGTAAATACACGTATATAGCAGCGGAGAAGCTCACGAGCCGGCCTCGTGGCGCTACTCTGCCACAACTCGCTTTCTCTCTGCTGGCTGCTCTCTGGTGTTGGCGATCAGCAGGAGAGTTTCCCCAGGTACTATAGGAAGCTCTAGGTATTACAAAGTTGATTCCCGGGCCACATCGCTGAGCCCTTGGGCAGCTGTGCAGGCCCCGACCGAGTGCTTAAGGCCTGTAATCGAAGAGGCTGTCACAGAAAGCTGGGAACGGAACGTGCGCTAAGCGTTCCAGCATCAGCTGGCCCCAGGAGGTGCTTCGAGCTCGTATTTTTGATAGAAAACTGTGATACGAGTATATATACGACCGCACAACATCAGAAAATGGAGTCCGTACCAAGGCGCCGCTGACTGAGAGAACCCGTTTGTTCTCTCCTTCTTTCTCTCTCGCTTTCTCGGTCTTCTCTATCACGCCAACTCTTTGCGTCTCGTTTTGCTTCCTTTAACGTTGGGAGCCCCTTTAAATCCGTGTGCTCGCGTGTGTACACATACGTTTTCTTCGTCGTCGTCGCGTTGCGAAAACACGCTGCTGTTGGGCCGGACGAAGAGGTACGTCGAAGCTGCACGAGCCGTGGCTGGGATTGAATACTTGCAGCATCGAGGAGAAGCCAGCCGGTGATGCGGAAGAAAATGTAAAAGCTGCAAACCTGACATGCAAATTCTCGACTAGCCCGGAAGTCGTGGCTGCGAGTCAAAAACAGGAGGAGGGGAAGAAGGGGGATCCCAACCAGCGGTGGCCCAGCGCTTTTTCATTGCAATTATCGAACAGCAGCGAAGCACAAGTAAGTACACCCCTATGTTTCCATTTTTTTTTTTTTTTTTTTTTTTTTTTTTTTTTTTTTTTTTTTTNTTTTTTTTTTTTTTTTTTTTTTTTTTTTTTTTTTTTTTTTTTTTTTTTCGTTCCGAGTCTATAGTTAACGCTTACTTGTACACATATATGAGCATAACTTTAATTATCGCTTCTCTCGGCATGCAGCTAGACTCGAACTCGCTCTCTTTGTTTTCCTTTTCCCTTTGCACTTAACCACTCTCTGCGTTCTTTCCTCTTACACACATATTATAGTCATGTATTGCCTTACTACCTATATATACCGGGTCTCTCCCTTTTTTTCTGTTTTGTTTTCCACTTGATATATAAAACATCGGACACTAACACTTAAAAGGGTGAGTATCAAGTATATGGGGAGAGGCACACACTTGTCGCCCGGCTGACCCGAATCAGCAGGCCTCCACCTCCCCCTCCTCCTCTCGTAGGTAAGATCTATCTACGTCTGTTTGTCTGTCTGTGAAACTTTTCTATTTTCTACCATTGACCATTACTGCAGCACCACACCACCACCACCAGCTAACAGCAAGCATTTGAAAAAGAAAAGAGCTGTGGCAGAAAAAAAAAAAAAACTGGTTATAGTCCCTCTCTTCTACCCTCTATATACCTGATGCGATGATCTGGTATCCCTCGGCTTTTTGCCGGCACCCGTGCATGTGCACCTATACGTTGGTAGGTAGGTACACATGCAGCATCATCAGCAGCAGCCCTCCTTTTTCCCCGTGTATAAGTTCCATGTATACCTGTGGGTACCTATGGATGAATGTGTTTGAATACCTTACAGAGATTCCCCCAATCTTGCATTCCGATCCGAAAGCAGCGACTCTCTGACCCAGCATTAGCATAATGCACCACCAGCAGAAACCACCATACGTAATCCAGATAGAGTTTTGAAATTTCGAAAAAATCTGTTGTTCGCAAAAAAAATACTTTTTAAAGTTTAAAATTAATAGTTTCGTAACACGACTGTGATGCAGCAGTATCCTTGATGGGGACTGATGATTTGGAACAATGCGCGGAGTAGAATGCAATAAAAACTCCACCCCATGTCGATGCCTGAGTACAAGGAACAGCTACATATTTACGATCTAGAAGAATACCTTATTGTCTTCAAATTTTGTAAGCAGCGTCAGTGTGTAAGGTAGCACAGAACCATCATCCTCAGGGCAAAGGGAAATCCTATGGTTTTTTAAAAATTACTTTGCTGATGAATGACATCACCCTGTTACTTACCACTACGAAATTATAAATACAAAAGCAGCGTCAGGGGCCATCGTAGTTTTTTTTTTTTTTTTGGAAGGGGTATTACAGATACGTGTCGAGGAAGTAGCTGTAAGCCGGTCTCTCGGGGCACATCGCAAAACTGAAGCTGGTATACGCGGGGGAGGAAGCAAGCGAGCCGACGAGTACCCCCGTATCGCGCCGGCAAAATTGCCACATTGTGTCACGCGGAAGAGGAGAGAATATCTCCTCGCGCCCTACAGGCCTATAGCTCTCCCAGCCGGGTATAGCGCTTTACATTAACGATCCGGGGCCTCGGCTTTCTCGTTTTCCGCGTATCTCCTTCTATATATAATCTGCGTGTAGTAGACCCAGAGTACCTACATCCCATAAGACGAGCATATTGTGTAGGTATATAATATGCACGCGCTCTCTCTTTCTGCAGTGCGCGCGCGTCCGCTTGCTCTGTTGTTATCTACTTGGGTATAAGTATACCTGCACCTACAGCTGGAAGGAGAGCGCATTTAAATCCGCACCAGGTCGCAACATCGGTTCTCTTACCTCGCACAGCCTCGCTTAACTGAACTTGGTTCTGTTCCGCGCGCCTCCGCCTACAATTTTATCATCCACCTTTTGCGCTCCTTTTTCATTAAATCTAGTTTTTTTTACTACTTAATTCGATCAAGCTACCAGCTGCGAGTGAAAAACAGCTCCTCATCCCCCCTAATCTCTACGGACGCAAATCGGTTGGTCAACTATGCCCATCACCTGATATTCACGAGCGCGTATCGTCATCCTTGGTTAAACGTCGTCGAGGACACAACCTTTTGTTCTTTATATTTTTCGCCTCTGCAGTGCAGCTTAACACCACGTATGGGTACCTAATCCTCGATTTCCTTACATATCGGCGCAAGTGGCGGCAACGTTATCGTGACAATCGCCACACAGATGTTGTGTATTTCACTGACAGGCAGTACCAACGGAACGGGCACAATGTTGTATATATATATACACGGTTGTGCAAGTAATGAGTCTATACCTAACAGGTATATAAAAGTACGTCGGAACCAAAGAGTGAGGTCGAGCAGCCGAGTGTGTCCCCTGTGCTCGTTACATCTTGGTAAAACGCCTATGTATGTATGTATGTATCATATATTACAACTATTGTATAAGGTGAACGCGTGCACAACATAGACTCGAGCCAATCGTGACCACCTGGAAGCTAGCACGCAAATTATCGACTTATGCAATAAAAAAAATACTAGGTGACGTGTTTTTATCTGCACATTTCATTTATGCAAATAATTGGATCTGCACATGCCTCAATTTTGCATAAAAAAATTAAAAAATATTTGCGATTTGCAGGACGCAGTTGGATAGTGATATCTCGGCAACAAAGGCATATTTGCAACTGCACACAGTTTTAATAAACTGCACATTATCCAAACTTAATTGCACAATCAAAATTTCTATCTGCATAACCTTATTTAATTAATAAATCAATTAATAGGAATAATCCGTATTGTAGCTACGAGTACTCATGCACTGCGCAGTTGACATCGCTTATAGAGGGCGTCAAGCCTTGGGTGGGAAAGTTTCAAATTTGTGCATAATTTTAGTAATTTGTTTTGTATTCAAAAATCAGTTCTGGTCCGTCATTAAATTTCCACCACGAATCAGGCCCCATCCAATAAGATGCCAGATTTTTTCTACGTCTTATGGATAAGAGTAACTTATTTTATCCATTCGGTACCTACAAAATAATTTCAACTTATTTCAAAAAAATTATACTTAGTAGCTACTACACGTCCACCTGTAGGTACTAAATAGTTCTAGGTCAACCAGAAGTACCTCATTCTTGGACAATTTAGGAAATCTTGACCCTTAGTATCTTTACATCAAGTAAATCCACCTACCTAACAATGACACTACCAGTAACAATAAACTGTAGCTCGTCCTGTTCAGCTAAAAATCAAATGATACGCAAGCAGATGGGTCTGCATCTGCAGGTAAACTTTCTCACCCAGCGCTGCCTTTTGAGACAAGACCTGATCTTGATCTCCATGCCGATATTTAGCATACCCTTCAAAGTATTTTTACCAGCTATATGAGTAAATGAGTACATCAAATTTGAGGTAGTCAACTTTGCAACCTAGCTTCATGGTTAATGTAAAGTATATGTGTAAAATATGCAGAATGTATCAATGCCATGAAGCAGACAGAGCAGACTGCACCACTTCTCTTGCATTCGCATGTACATATATATGAAATTTGTATTTCTATTTGAACTGTTCAAATTGGGCATGTGCTTTTTTTACAAATTCCTAATTGATAAGTAAGTCCTTATTTTATATAAAATACGAAAGCAGAGAGTAAAAGTGCATGAATGTTTTATGTTTGTTTGAGAATTTTTTAAACTTTCCCACCCAAGGCTTGACGCCCTCTATGAGCGATGTCAACAGCTGGACATGCGCAGTGCATGAGTACTCGTAGCTACAATACGGATTATTCTTATTAATTGATTTATTAATTAAATAAGGTTGTGCAAATAGAAATTTTGATTGTGCAATTAAGTTCGGATAATGTGCAGTTTATTAAAACTGTGTGCAGTTGCAAATATGCCTTTGTTGCCGAGATATCACTATCCAACTGCGTCCTGCAAATCGCAAATATTTTTTTATTTTTTTATGCAAAATTGAGGCATGTGCAGATCCAATTATTTGCATAAATGAAATGTGCAGATAAAAACACGTCGCCTAGTATTTTTTTTATTGCATAAGTCGATAATTTGCGTGCTAGCTTCCAGGTGGTCCAATCGTGCAGGGTTGCGGGTGCTACCAATACAGGTATAGGTTCTTCTCGCCATCAGCAGCTCGCCGCAATCGTCGTCGTCGTCGTACATGTCTACATTTGTATGCATGTACAAACCTACTTGTATATGATTACGCTGGTCGCAATAATCGGTGGCATTCCACGCTTACGTGTTATATTATACATCCCCACGCTCGCAAATATAGGCATACCTTGCGTGTAATTCAACGGACGGGCAGATAGGAAGCTATACAGAAAAGAGAGACGTGCACGGGAGCATGATGATGATAATGTAGGTGTAGAGAGATATGCAACAGCGCCGACGAGGGGACCAGAATTAACGCTGCCAAGATAGTCGATCGAACGGGCATACAATGCGTGGGATACACACACACACACACACACACACACACACACACACACACATGTAACTTGCTCTGCCGTTGTATAATTTTTTTATGTTGATTTTGCAAGGCGATCGGTAGTAGTTTTTTTTTTTAATATGCGTCAATCCGAGCTACACACACTGTGTGAACGATACAACGTATACAGAGGGGCTATCAAGTTGGCGAGCCCAGTCGAGAAGGCGCTAGAAAAAAGAGCCTCCTGCTTGCAATTAAATATAATATATCCATGTTTCTCTTTCAAACATGACGCTGCATTAACAAAACTACCATGTGTTCAAAAATCATCTGATCCCATTGGCTGGAGGCTTGGCTCTTTTAGCGCCCTCTGAGCTATACTCTTGATAATGCCTGATATGCGTAACTTTTATTTTCAGTTTACATCTATCATTTAACATGTTGTGCATACGTTTAAAATATAAAGTTGGAAATAAAACTACAAAGAGTCTATGATATACATACGGTTAAGTCGCTTGCAGCTGTATAATTTTCCTAGCTGATCGGCGCCAGTTGAAACTAT